TGGAGCCAGATGACGCCAGACTGAGTTCGCCACGTTTTTTGTGGTTTTCGGGGCTGGGTGGGGATGACCTTTTGGGGTCTCCTCCTCCTCCTCCTCCTCCTCCTTTTTTTCGTCTCGTGCTCGTCGCTCTCTTCGGGCCCGTTCCAGGACTAATGCGGCCTGCTCGGCCAATGCTCGTCGCATCTTACAAGGAGATACTGTCTAGATTTGGGCCATTTTCCTACCCCAGGGTAAAGGTAGGCGGTGCTCAGGAAGACGAACATGCCCACTAAGTGCCATCTCCTCCTCCTCCTCCCATGCCCCCTGTGTCCCTCCGGCCCTTCCTCGCTTCTCCCCCCTCCCCGACTGGCCACATCTCGGGGAGGGCCAGGACCCCAGGTCAGGGGGCCCGGTTCATGGTTCGGGGGTGGACAGACCTCCTACCCTGACACGTCGATGAAGGAATTGGCCGTTTTCGGTTCGCGAGAGGGCGTCGCGGCCGTCATTTTTACGGGTCCGGGTCCGTCGGTTTCGGTCCCGGGCCGTTTTCACTGAGGGGAGGTCTACTAAAGGGAGGTTTGTCCACCGCCAAATCACTAAACCAGGATTGCCAGAGCTGATGTTTTTGCGGGTGACGGGGGGGCGCCCCCGGTACAGATCCCTAAACCAGGTTCCACTCAACCCAGTTTTGCCAACGCCCGGACATCCTGCGTGCCATGGAATGTTGCGTGGCCTTCTCCTCTCGCCCCGGCCCCACGGGCGGGATTGGCAGCGCAGCGGACCCGTTGTGGACCTGGGGTGGACGAGGGTCGCTAGAGGGCCTGCTCGAGAGATTCGGAGCGCATCGCCCTGTGGGGTTCCCACATGTTCTGGACATCGCAGGCAGTTTCTGGGCTCCAGGTCGGTGACAGCAAGTGCTCGGGGGAAGGGATCCTCTTGTTGGGGGGCCGGCGATTCAAAGACAAATGAGTTCGCCAGAGGTCTGGGGGGGAAGAAGAGGAGACGGGTCTTAGGATGTTCATAGGAGCTTGACGGGTTTCTTCAAGATTCTGGCAGGCTCCAGTGGGGGTTCTGAGGAAACCCAGGGCCTCCCACGAAGGAGGGAGAGACTCGAGGAATAAAAAGCGGCAGAAGCATAAACTTTTGGCGCTCCGCGCGGATTTCTTGGGATCCGCGCTGGGCCTCTCCTGCGGCGCCTCTGGCGCCGCCCCTGGCGCGCTCCGCGCGCCAGTGAGGGGGTCCACCGCAGATCCAAGAAATCTGCGCGGAGCAGAAACAGTTTGTGTTTATGTCGTTTGTTTTTTCCTCCATTTCGGTTGCCCCGAATAGCCACAATGTGCCACACGGTTCAGTTCTTCTAGTTCTGTTTCGGTTGCTTGTGTTTCTACCGCGTTCTCTTCCAGAGACGGGGGGGGTGGAGGAGAGAAGGGGGGCGGGGAGGCAGAGTCGCGGACCCAGGGGCAGGGAGCAGGGGGCTGGTGGGGGGGTCCCTCCACGAGGGAGGATCGCAAGAAGGAATCGTCGATCGGGGACGGGAGGAGCGTCAGGGGATCGCAAACATGGACCAACGGTGAGGCCTGTCTTCCACCACCACCACCATAAGTTGGAGGGGGGAGGAGGTGGAGGACGAGGAGGAGGAGGACGAGAAGGAGGAGGAGGAGGAGGAGGAGGAGGAGGAGGAGGAGGACCCCCTTCCCCTCCAACGTATGGTGGTTGTGAGAAACAGGCCCATCAAAGGGGACGTGGATTAGCGACGGGTCCCGTTTCCGTGGGAACCGCGGACTTCCGCCGCCGAACGGGGCGGCACCGGCCGTAGGTTGGGGTGGCGACGGCGCGCCAAGTCCATGGATCGCTGATCCATGCTTGCGCGCCCCCGAGGGTGCTGCTCCATCGGCTCCATCGGCGCCACCCCAACATACTAATACTGTGTGTGCGCCGCCCCCCCGCCCCCCCCCCCAGGGGCGGCGCGCGCACCGAGAGATCTTGTGGTATGTGCGTCGTGGTGGGCGCTTTCTGGCCACACTGCTCGGGAAGCGATGCACTGCAAGATGGGTGTACGGTATGTTCGGGTCGGACGCGCGCCTCCGAGGAGGACATATAGTTCTTGTATGTCTCTGTGCGTCCCACTCCAACATTACTCTGACTGTCTTAACGTCGCTCGGACGTGTGCATTTTTTCTCGGCGAGGGCCATCGAGGTGGATCCTGGATCGCCTAGAACTGCACGACACCGAAACATCTCGTCGGATGTTGCTCGGCGAGGGCCATCGAGGGACATGACCGCACGACACCGACAACTGCACGGGGGATGGACGTCCGAGCGATGACGAACCGTTGTAATCAGGGAGTTCCACGCGACCCGGCCGCATTTTCCGACGAACTGGTTTGACGCTTCGCGTATCCCCACCAGCCAGCTTGACTCCCCCGACTTTCAGTGTCAGGCAAGTTGCAGGCTATGGACTCAGAAAACATGGCCGCCGGTTCCTTGACTAGGACGGGTCGTTCTCATGCCCAAGAGCATCCTATGAGTCCCTGTGAGTGAGGCCTCCATCTGTGCCCCCCCTTTTCCTGCCGCCGCGTGCCCTTGCGCCCGCCGTGTCTCTCCTGTTCCTTGGCCTCCTCTTCGTTTCATGGACGGTGCGGCCACCCCAGCCACTCCGTGCCGCCACAGCGCGGCGTGCTCCACGCCCTTACGCGCTGTTCGGTACGGTCAGAGCTTGGCGCCTCTTGTGCGACTGCTCCATCCGTCCGTTTCCAGTTCGGTGCTTGCGTTCCCCGACTTCGGGCCGCCAGCGTCTTAATGAGGGTCACTTTGTCCCTGGCACGTGCACCCGCTGCCGCGGCCTACGCGCGTCAGCAGCTAATTATCTCGCCCTGTGCCCCAGCCGAGTCCGTCCCGCTTCTTGGATCTGTCCTTGTAAGCCGCCAATCAAAAAATATCCCCGCCAACCCATCCAGGAATGTTGCCCAGGGGAGCTGCTCTTTCAGGCAAGGCGCTCCGTCAGGACGCGCGCCTTCATCTCGGGTGTCCCTTGTTCCCTGCCTCTGCGGCCCGTCCTTTGCTATGTTCACTGGCCGCAAGCCGTCAACAAAATCCCAATTTCGGCCTCAAAGAGCTTTGCGTCCTTACCACCCGTCCTTAATTCACATTCTGATTGCATCGGAGGAGCATGGCAGCGTGGCATCATTTTGATATCCCGGGGAGCCCTGCGTGAACCAACTGCTCTTGTGTGCCCTTCGGAGTCGTTTGGGATGCCTCCGGGTGGGTTTCTTCTTCAAGGGCTTTTCGGGGCGTTGTGGGTGCTTCTTGGGAGCTCTTTGGGGCCTCTTGGGGCGTCTGGGGGGGCTCTTAGGGGTCTCTTCGGTGAATCTTGGGAGCGTTTTTGGAACCTTTTGGGGTGGGACCCTGTTAGGCCATCCTGGAGCCGTCTTGAGGGTTCGGAAAGCAATCGGATGCGAAAAGGTGAGACGGCAACAACCATTCATGGCCCTTCGACGGATTCTGGCCTCTCGAGGGCGTCCATGGGAGGCTCCGTGGCCACCTGGACCAGTCTTGGAGCGGTCTTGGGACTACCAAGGACAGCATGGGACACAATATGTAGCCATCTTTGGGGTATTTTGAACTGCCGGGGGGCGTGTCAAGAAACCAGATGCTTTTCGTCAGGGTTTCCTGGGTTTCTTCGTTCCGCGCAGTGCGCGGCGACGTCCCGCGGCCGTTGAGGGAGCTGCTGCGTTCAGGGTGCTCCAGGTTTTCCCTCCGGTGCAATTCGCCTGCGGGTTTTCAGGGCTGGGTTTCTTGCGAGGGTTTTTTTTGCGGCCGCGCCCGCACTGTATGTTGGAGGACATTTTTTGGGCCATATCGAAGCCTTCTGGGGGCCATATCTGGCCACCTCTCGGATGCTCCAGCGCTTCGCGGGGCGCCCCGCCCAGGCGCCCGGGGAGGGGGTAGCGAGGGGACGGTAAAAACCCATCCCGAAGGGTTGTGTTGCTCCCGTCCTGCTTGAGGACCGCATCCCAGAAATCATCTCCGAGCCAGGGCCTCGCCTGCGAGTGAAGTGTGAGGAAGTCTGCAGCAACAGCACCCCTCGTCATGCCCCCCCCCACACTTCATCTCGGTAATCCGAGCGGGTCTCCTGTTTCCTGAAGCTGTCATGTAGCTTTCTATTGTTCCCATCCCATTTGAGGGCCGCATCCCAGAAATCATCTCGAGCACCCGGAAAAGTGTCAAAAAGAGTGTCGAAACGGTGTCGAGACAGTGTCGGGCGAGTGTCTCCCAGGGCCCGATGCGTGAAAACCGTTGAGTTTCGGTACTTTTTGGGGCGCTCGAAGTTCTTCCTGGGAATCAAGGCTAAAGTAGGCTGGAGCATCATAACCGAAGGGGAGTAGGGACACAGTAGGGACGAGGGCAGAGGGCGCGCGTCAAGCCGCCCGTGCCCAGGGCGCTGGTGGGATTCCAGACTCTCCCGGAGGGAGGGTGGAGGGAGGCAGGGATAGTCGGGGGCCCCAAACGGGGCGGTGACCACACCGTGCGGTGAGTCGGTGGGGATTCGGGGTCACCGCACGGTTTTGGGATTCGAGGACGTCTCGGGCGACGGGGGCTTCTGGGGTCCCAAGACCGTGCGGTGACGGACCGTGCGGTGCGGTCTTGGGGGATTTCGAGGTCACCGCACGTTCCGTCACCGCACTGTTTCGGGACTCCAAAGATATCGTGCTTTTTGTCAGGGGTCCGTGGCCAGCTTGCCACCCTGGGCCGGTGTTCCTGTGAAGGTCGTGGGGCCCGTGGAGGGCCCTCGCCCCGGGTGCCGAAGACGGCGAGGGGTGTGCGTACTGTTTGGTGGTCGTGATACGTTGGAGGTTTGGGGCGGAGGTCGGAGGAGGAGGAGGAGGAGGAGGAGGAGGAGGAGGAGGAGGACGAGGAGGCAAACGGGGGGAGGAGGAGGAGGAGGAGGAGGAGGAGGAGGAGGAGGAGGAGGAGGGAGGAGGAGGCAGAGGAGGAGGAGGACGAGGAGGAGGAAGACGAGGAGGCGGACGAGGAGGAGGAGGAGGAGGAGGCGGAGGAGGCGGCGGAGGAGGAGGAGGAGGAGGAGGAGGAGGAGGACGCGGTGAAGGAATTCTGGGTCGGCGCGCGGCGAGCGTTTTGCCCTGGAGGCGGCAGAGTCCAGGGTGCGCTCGCTCCTCGAGGAGGCGGGGGCGAACCTGGCCCGCGCCGACCGGGCGGAGAGGGAGCTGGAGGCCGCGAGGATGCGCGTGGCGGAGCTGGAGGCCAGCAGGGGACGCCGGCTGCACTCCCAGAGAAGCTGGGTCGGGAGCCTTGAGACGGGGGTCAATGCAAACGGGGGTCAGCCAGAGCGCCAGATCCTGAAGGATCCTGCATGGCAGTTTTTGGTTTCCTGCTGACCCGGGTTTGGATTGACCCGGGTCAGAAGATCTCCGACTGGGGTCCGCAGTGTGCAGTGGGGGCCCATGCCAAGAAGCACCCTGCGTGCCTCCATGGAGCCCTGGGTTTCTTGGGTTTCGATGGGTTTGCCACGGAGGGCGTGGCGTGCCCACACCGAACATCGATGGACGTCCTGGGGTCTCGGGGTCGGGTTTCTTGTGGAAGGTTTCTTGTGGTCGGGCCCCTACTGTACATACACTGTTGGCGCTCCGCGCGGAGATCCGCGCCGGGCCCCCCCGGCGGCACCACCGGCGGCGCCCTTGGCGCGCTCTTCGCGCCAGGGAGGGGGGGGTCCAGCGCAGAGCCAAGACATCAGCGCGGAGCGTCCAAAGTTTATGTTTTTGCCGCTTCTTCTTTCGGAGGTTTTTAGACCTTCCACTCTGACACGTCGATTAGCGAATTGGCTGTTTTCGGTTCGCGAGAGGGCGTCGCGGCCGTCATTTTTGCGGGTCCGGGTCCGTCGTTTTCGGTCCCAGGCCGTTTCACAAAATTGAGGTTTGCTAAAGGGAGGTTTGTCCACCACCGATTCTTCTTCGTCTGTGCATCGCATGTGCCGGTCCCGGGGCTGGCCGATCCTGGGCCCACGATCTTTGCGAATTTGCGCCAGAGCTCGCCCCACGGACAGCGTTTTCGCGCCCTCGTGGGCCGCTTTCGTTTTGGTATCGTTTTGCAGCAGAGGCAGAACGAAGAAGAGGAATCATATAAAAAAACACGAATAAGACTAATATCAATCACATAATAATAAGGATCGTTAGAGGGATCGTGATAAGAATGAGAGGAGTAATGCGAAGACCATAAACACATAGGACAAATAATGAGAAGAGGAATGCGCATACAACATGAATACTAGTAATAATAGTAACCGTAATACTAGTCATAACACTAACAACAACAACAATAACACGAAACATCATGAGGAGAGGACGACAGCAAAACGAACAACGGGAAACGCTGCTCAGGTCGAGCCCCGATCTGTGCTTCCAGCCCTGGCCCCGGGGGAGCGTGCGCGCGGACATCTCCAGGCCCGAGGGTCGGCCTTGGCCACGCGCGCGCGCGGGGGTACGCAGTTCGAGGAGGGGGGGAAGGCTTCTCAGCAGCACCTCCGGGGAAGTGCCTCCTAACATCGCAGGAGGAGAAAAAACACAGAGACGCAAGTAATCGTCGATTCCCCAGAAAATATGGGAAAATATAGGAAATGGGCGGGAAGACAAAAAAAACGAAAATATTGGACATCATGGGCAATCTTTTAGTTTGTCTGTATTCATTTGTGTGTCCTTGGGCTCCTTGAACATCACCGCCCAGCAGACCACCCCAACCCAACCCGAAGGCCCCGAATTTGCCCTCCGTTGCCAGTGGGGGGGGCGGGCGTACACCCCCCCCAGGCCGGAAGTCGGGTCTTCGGGTTGGCTTGGTCGGCCACGCGCAGGGGGGGCAGGGGGAGGGGGGAAGGCTTCTCAGAAGCACCCCGGCTTCTCAGAAGGCTCGGGCCCTGTCTGCAGCCGTAAGGCCGGCGCCTTCTCAGAAGCAGCCTTCTGCCAGGAAGCCTCCCCCCTTCCCCCTGCTGTTGAGTCGGGCCTGTCCCTTTTTACAGGAGGAACATGCAAAATAGTCGACCAAATTTATCTTGGGACGATGTTTCGACTATTTTTGAGCATTTGGGGGTTAAAAAATGTTTGTTGCACACAAGAAAAATCGTCCCAAATCCGCCTGTACAGTCGGGGCCCTGAAGAAGGAACCCTTTTCGTTTGGGAGGGGCTCCGCGTTCCTTAAGTAGTTCACAGCTTGCCTCAGGTTTTCCTTAGGTTTTCGATAGGAAATCGAAGTTTAACTTATGGAAACGAAGGGCCTCGTTCCTTATTTAGAGTTCCTTAGTTCAGCGCCCCGACTGTAGGGGGACACGCCCGACCTAACCCTGTCGCCCCTCTTGCGCGCCGCCAAGGTCGGCCCGGTCAGAGCGCCCTGGGGTGTGCGCGTTGCCGGCGTCCTCCCAGGCCGCGGCCGCTCCCCTCGAGGCGCGTGCCGCGAGCCTCTCCAGCCTGCTGGCGGGCATAGGTCGGCGGCGGGCGGGGGGGGAGGGAACTCCGAGGTTCGAACTTCAACTTCGAGGTCCGAGGTTGTCGGGCGCTCTCGCAGTCTCTCGGCGGTTGTTTCCGCCCCCGGGGCACAGTCCAGCGGCTGCGCCTCGCCGAGAGCGTGCTGGGAATGCCCGGATCGTCCCGAACGCCCGCCGGAGACCCGAGTTATGGCCCAAAAAGCAAATTCAGTGGCGTGCGGGGGGGAAAGTGAGACGGAGAAGGCCTTCTCCGCAGGCGGCGTCACTGCTCAGAAGTCCCCGCGCTTTCGGAGAAGTGCTCCGTGCCCGCGGGGACGGCCTGGAACGACTTCTCGGGCGGCGCGGGGACTTCCGAGCCTGCCGCGAGGGCCTTCTCCGGCTCGCTTGACCCCCCCCCCCTCGCGCGCCGCCGGACAGGGTGCACCGTGGGGGCCGCGCTGAAGGACACCGAGGCGGCTGACGACGGCCTGACCCTGTTCGAAGCAGCCGTCCGGGAGAAGGAGGCCCTCGAGGCGAGGGCGCAGCAGCTCGAGCAGGAGGTGGACCAGGCGCAGGCGGCCCACCATCGAGCACCCCTTGCCCTCGAGCCTCCAGTCGGGCGTGCCCCTGTTGTGCAGGAGGAAGATGCAGGAATGATGAAAATGACCACTACACCAGCGACAAACAAACCCGACCAGTGGATGGTTCCCGCTGAGGAGTTCGACCGGGAGCCCGGGAGCCCGGGAACCCAGAAGCCACCGAGATCGGCCCGGAGCCAAGAGCCGGGAACCAGGGAACCCGGAACCGGGAACCTGGGATCCCCGCCTGCTACCAAAATCAGCGGGATATGTTCGCCAAATCTGTCATTTTTCGCTATAGGACCCCTTCAGTGCAAGCACTGATTGGGGAACAATCGCCTGAGGACGGTTTCTCGATTTCTTGACCAATTTCGAATATGTCCGTATATTTTTGATTTTTTGCCCTCAATCCGCCTGTAGGAGGACGCGCCCGACCTAATCCGAGCCTGCAGGTTCGCCGTTCACCCTTGGAGTTGACAAAGGAGATGGCACAACTGCATCGGGGCCAGCCCTTCCGCATTTTTCAGCCCTGGCGAATTTCCCTCTTCAGCCCTGGCCACCATGTCCCGTCTGTCTCTGGTCTGTTCGAGCCCCAGCAACCACGAATGAACCACCGATCAGCCATTCCAACCTGAAGCCTCAGATCCGGCTTCTCCCTCTGGAGGTCTGGAGGAGGAGGGGGGAGGAGGAGGGAGGAGGAGGAGGAGGAGGAGGAGGAGGAGGAGGAGGAGGAGGAGGAGGAGGAGGAGGAGGAGGAGGAAGGAGACGCGCGGCGCAGCAGAGAGAGAGAGAGAGAGACAGAGAGAGGAACGAGGACCAAACTCCACAGGAGGGCTGGCAAAAAGTCAGAAACGTTCAAACGACCTCCAGGGACACCTGGCCGTTTCCCAAGTTCAGGGGTTGGTGTGTGGTTCAGATGGGCACCCCGTCTTGGCCACGCACCTCCTGCCCCTCGTGTTGCCCAATCGCCCGCAGGGAATCCGCTCCGTCCCAGACGGCGGCATTGGTGCGAGGCATGTGCCCCCCTACCTTTCCGGGGCCAGGTTGCCATCCCGAGAAACACGTTTGGACTGACCGCGGGGAGCCCGCCCGAGAAAAGTGTTGGACCGAAAGCGGGGACAAGCCTTTGGTAGACCCGACGATACGAAGACAGCCAGCATCGCGAAAGCTCACGACCAGAGCTCGAGCCGACCCCCCCCCGACGGCGAAACGTCGATCTCTGATGGCCCCGGGGGCCCGAGGCCCGAGGCGGAGCGGCTCGGCGTTGGGGAAAAGTGGCAACGCCCGCACCTCGGGGATCCCACCGTGCTTTTGCTCGACTCGCTGGACGCCTTGGAGGCGGAGGAGGCGGAGGAGGAAGCGGCGGAGGAGGAGGAGGAGGACGAGGAGGACGAGGAAGAGGGGGAGGAGGAGGAGGAGGAGGAGGAGGAGCAACCCCTTACAGACAGAGCGTTCCGGAACGCGCTCAGAGCGCTCCGGGACGCTCTGGGAGGGCCGCGGCGCCCGAGACACTTTCCAGAGCCGCCGGAGCTCAGAGATGCCCGATTCATCATCACCCTCCGTTATATCTTCGTCCTGGCTTCGTCTCACGTGCGTGGATGCAAAAGAACACCTCATCCGATCCTATTAACACGATGCAGACGTGGCCTCACTTAGGCCCCCGTCTTGGCCTTGGGTGATAATGATATGGATCATTATTCTGGGTGGCTTGCTTTGGTACATCTGCTACACGGACCCCTCTATCCCTATGCGTTTGGCCCTCCTATCTTCGGTCCCCTCCCAAAGAATTAGGGGTATGGAAGTCCATGCCAAGAAACACCCTCCTCGCCTCCAGGGGGCCCTAGGTTCCTTGGGTTTCGATGGTTTTGTGATGGAAGGCGTGGCGTGCCCACACCAAACATCCATGGACGTCCTGGGGTCTCGGGGTTGGGTTTCTTGTGGAAGGTTTCTTGTGGTCAGGCCTCCCGTGTACGGTAGATTCGCGTTGTGTCGACCGGCGGCGACCCCGCCGCGGGCGTTCAAGGTTGCACGCCGCCAGTGGCCCAGAATAGGCCTACATGGAACGATCGGGCGATCGCAAAGCCGCCGATCGTTCAAGGTTGAATGATCCACGCGGTGTCAGAAACCAACGCCGGGGTCGACACGGCGCGAACCTGCCGTGATGTTTTTGCCTCTCCTAATGTTCGTCCCCTCCCAAAGAAGTAGGGGTAACCTCATATCGCTTATCACCCTTGGCCTGCGCGCAGGCGGTGGTGGGCGACCTGACGGAGCGGGTGAGCCTCGCCGAGGTGGGCGGCGACCGGAAGGGGGGGGGGTCCTCCTGCTCTTCCTCCTCCTCCTCCTCCTCCTCCTCCTCCTGCTCCTCCTCCTGCTCCTCCTTCTCCTCCTCCTGCTCCTCCTGCTCCTGCTCCTCCTCTTCCCCCTCCTCCTGCTTCTCCTCCTGCCCCTCGTCTCGCCTGCCCTCCTCCCCCTCCTGTTTCGGAGGTCCGCGGGAACCTCCGAGGGTTTGAGGGGGCGAGTGGAGCTTGCGCTGGGCGGCTTTCGCGAACCTTTCGGGGGTCTCGTCTGATGGGCCGATTTCCCACCACCACTGCCATGGGTAAGAGAGGGAGGAGGAGGAGGAGGAGGAGGAGGAGGAGGAGGAGGAGGAGGAGGAGGAGGAGGAGGAGGAGGAGGAGGAGGAGGAGAGGAAGGAGGAGGAGAAAGTGGAGGAGGAGGAGGATGCGGTGCACCTCCCCAGCCTCCCTTCTCCCCCGTCCGATATATGGTAGTGGTGGTGGAAAACTGGCCCATCGTCGTCGTCGTCGTCGTCGTCGTCGTCGGTCTCGTCGTCGTCCCCGAGTCGTCGGGGCGGGGGGCAGTCAGGGCCAGCGATGCAGATTCGCGCCTCGGGGTTCCAGACAGGCGTTGCCCTAGACCGCAGAGGCACTCCCGATGATTCGGGCGTCCATCCCCTCTCGAGTCATCGGGGCTGGGGGCAGTCTGGGGTGCCTACGGGTTCGTGCCTCGGGCGCCCAAACCAGAGTTACCCTGGACCGCAGTTGCCGCAGATAGTTCGGGCGTCCAACCTTCTCGAGTCATCGGGGGTGGGGGCAGACATGAGTAGCTACTTGTTCGTTCCTTTGGCGGCCAAGCCGAACTTACCTGGGACCGCACTTCCCACGGATAATTCGGGCGTCCAACCCGCTCGAATCATCGGGGGTGGGGGCTGTCAAGTGTAGCTACGGGTTTGTGCCTTTGGCGCCCAAACCAGACTTACCTGGGACCGAAGTCATCCCAGATATTTCGGGCGTTCAAGTGTTTAGTCCCCTCAATATTCGAATAATAACAAACTGCATAAACATAACTCTCGGAGGTCCGCGTGGACCTCCAAGAGTTTATGTTCATGCCGTGCGTACTTCCTCAGGGGAATGCTTTCTAGAAGCTTCGGAAGCTTTCTGAACAGCTCTCCTCGCGCCAAGACCTCTGGTGATACTGGGCGTTACGGGGGAGGTGGGGGAGACGGCGGGCAACGTCACCATTTGTGCTGGCGCCGTCTGGGAATTCGGACCATTCCCAGATGGCGCCGGCGCGGAGCGTGACGTTACCAGGGGGGGAATCGGGAGGACGGAACTGGGGACGAACATGATGGGGACGAAGGCCACCAGCAGTCCCTGCCCGTTGTATGCACAGGACTTGCCTGTCGGTGCCGCCGTGTGCGTTGTCGATCTGGGGCGAACGTCACCTACCCAACAGCGGCCCGCTTTCGGCTTGGGGCAGCCTTCGCTGTTGCATGACGGTATTACAGGAAGAGTGCTTTCATCAGTTGAACCCGTAACGTCCGTGACGGGGGGGCGCTCCCCCTCCCGTGACGGCAGCGAACGTACGCGTGGGTGGTGCGGGCTCCTCCTCATGTATGGCGCTATGCTCGCAGGGCTGCTGTGGTGCTGACGGCATGATTCAGTGCTCACAAGCGCGCTGTGGCGGCAGGAATGCTGTGTTGCCGCTGCTGCCCCTGCTCCTCCTGCTGCTGCTTCAGTGTTCCTCCTGCTCTTTCACCGGTGATTCGCCTGTGCTCTTCTTGCTGGCCCTCCTGCCTCTTCTCCTGTTGCTCATCCTGCCGCTCCTCCTCTTGCTGTTGTTTCTGGCCTGTCGTCCTGCTGTTCGTGCTGCTGCTCCTCCTTCCTCTCCTCCTGCCGCTCCTCCTGCCGATCCTCGGGCTGCTCCCCCTTGTTGGTCCTCTTGCCGCCCTCTGCTCCCCCTCCTGCTGCGCCTTCTGCTGGCACTGCTGTGCTCGCAGTGTGGCCATATGCCGACTGCATATCGGCGGCGAACCAGGGGGGGAAGTGAGAGGGGCTTTCTTTCTCAGAAGGCTTGGAATCGGGGGTGGACAGAACCCCCAACAGTGACACGTCGATTAGTGAATTGTCCGCGTTCGTTTCTCGAGAGGGTGCGGCGGCCGTTATTTTCCAGGCTTGGGGCCGCCAGGTTTGGGCCTCAGGTCGTTTTCACTAAACCACGTTTTACTAAAGGGAGGTCTGTCCATCCCCGATGGAAGTCCCTGGGCTTTCTGTGAAGCGTTTTGAGCTTCCCCCTCAGACACAGAGCGCCTCTCAGACGGCGGGATGCTTCCTGAACACCCACCGTCGACTTCTGAGAAGGCCCTCTCCTTGTCGTTTCCCCCCATCGCTTGCCGCCGCGTATACTTCCCAGGGCGCAACTCCTTGGATGTGAAATTCTGTATTGGCTCCGGTATTCTTGCGGTCGATCACCGTTTTCATTTGGGCCTATCCAGCTTCATCTGGCTCAATCCCGCCTCATCCAGCCGAGTCCGACTTAAACCCGGGCTTAATCTGGTCTCGACCGGTGAAGTGGCCCCACAATCTGGGGAAACCACAAGGTACCAAGACCGCTACTCCCCGAACCTCTCTCGGGATCCCGCAAAAGGGGGTATGCCCCGGTGTGTGTATGTGTGTGGGTGTGAGTTCGATCGGTATTGCACCGAACCGCCCAAAGCAAATGCCCCCCAGCCGCCTGCAGCTCCCGATAGTTGCCGATAGGTGGGGCATGCGGGGGGCATCTGTGTGCGGCAGTTCGGCGCACAAGCGGATCGAACTCATGCCCCCCCCCCTTGGGGTCACCCCCTTGTTGGTGGATCCCGACTCTCCTTGGGTGCGTTTTGACCAGAATTTCGAGGCGAATCCAGCGGTGCCGACGAAGGCCTCCCAGGAGGCCCAAGAAGGCGAAAGCGAGGCACGGGTGGCGGTATGGATACCCTTTGTTCTTTTGATTCTCAAGTTTAATCGCGTTCAACCGTTCTAAAGCGAAAACCTCAGGAATTGCCTCCTAACATCACCGCCCAGCAGACCACCCCAACCCAACTCGAAGGCCCCGAATCTGCCCTCCGTTGCCAGTGGGGGGGGGGGCACCCCCCCCTCACCCAGACCAGAAGTTGGGTCCTCGGGTTGGTTTGGTCGGCCACGCGCAGAGGGGAGCAGGGGGAGGGGGGAAGGCTTCTTAGAAGCACCCCTGCTTCTTATAAGCGGCGAGCCTTGTCTGTAGTCGTGAGGCCGGCGCCTTCTCAGAAGCAGTCTCCTCCTAAGGAGCAGGAGTCCTCCCTCCCTCTCCTCTCCTCCTCCCCCTCCTCCTCCTTCCCCTTCTCCTCCTCCTCCTCCTCCTCCTCCTCCTCCTCCTCCTCCTCCTCCTCCCTCCTCCTCCCCCTCCTGACATCGCTCGCCGCCGAGCGGTGGGCGTGGCTCCCCTCCCGCGCGCAGCCGCCGCCGCGAGGGCCGGGCGCGCCTCCTGGCCGCGGCCGAGGCCCGGGCCGAGGCGCTGGCCGCGGGGCTGCGGCAGATCTCGGAGCGCTCGGGCGCGGGCGGCCGCGCCGGGCTCCTCGGCTCCCTCTTCGGCAGAAGCGAGGAACGGCGTCGCCGCCGCAGCCGAGGGGGAGGCGGAGGAGGAGGAGGAGGAGGCGGAGGAGGAGGAGGGGGAGGGGGAGGAGGAGGAGGAGGAGGAGGAGAAGGAGGAGGAGGAGGAGGAGGAGGTGGAGAAGGAGGAGGAGGAGGAGGAGCACGAGGACGAGGACGAGGAGGAGAAGCAGGAGGAGGAGGAGGAGGAGGAGCAGGAGGAGGAGGAGGGGGAGGGCCGTTCTCAGACCTTCCATCCTTCTCCTGCTCCTTCCTGCCCAGGGGGGGAAAAAGATTCCCATACCCCCACCCTTCCGTTGTTTTCCCCTTTGTTGGCCTGCTGGGCGGCCCCCGCCGCCACCGCTGAATTCGCCTCGAGAAGAGCTGGTCAGAATGCACCCTGGGAAAGCTCTGGGGAGCAGCAGTGTCTCGCTACTGCTTGGTTTCCTCAAGCCCTCCAGCGTATTAGCCGGTCGTTGAAAGTAGGGTGAAGTCAGGCCTGTCTTTCTACAGGAGGACTACTCAAACATAGTTATACCACAAACATAGTCTGGGGACGTGTTTTCCAAACCTTTTGGCTATTTTGGTGTATGTGTTGACTTTTTTAAACATGTTTTCGTCCAAAATCCGCCTGTAGGGGGACATGCCCGACCTGGAAGTAGGTGTTTTGGCGTCCAAGATCCCAATCATTTTCAAGCGCCTGCCTACTTCAAGAATCGGTGCGCTCTTGCTGTGCCTTGTGATTCTCTGGGAGGGCCTGGGCCCAATCTACGTATCCGCCTTCCTACTTCCTGCGTCACGCTTTTACCTACTTCTTCCAACCTCCAGTGTAGTAATACAACCGACTGCACGTAAGAGTGACCCTTCCCCAGAGTGACCTTTGGTGCGGGCCCACTTGGGTCCCCCGATCGCTGAGCGCGAATCGGTAGCAGCGGCTTGCGCGCCCCGGTTTGGCCACCCCGCGTCCCCCGTTAAGCTGCGCACCAAAGGTCTTTTTCCAAACCATCCTGTGGTGTTGGGTCCTCGTTTTGAAGAGACGGTGCCCCGCGTTCCTCTCCTCTCCTCCTCTTCCCCCTCCTCCCTCGTGCCCG